AATGAAATTTTAGTTCATTAAATTTTTTTATAACTATAAAATATGAAGATATCGATAACTCCGAGTCTTTCTTCATATTTTATAATAATTAAAGATGACTAAGTAATGAAATCATTATTTTATATTATAAGAATATTGTACATCTTCAACATTATTTTCATCATTTCAATTCAATTATTATTTTCAAAAATTTTTAACTACAATTTTACTTTATAGCAATATTATTTTTAATAATTTTCGAGAAAGTTCTTTGGCAATTTTCCAATCCATTTGTTTACAATATTAAATTTAACGAAATTTCAATTATTCCTAAATTCTTTAATTTAATGCATATTAGAAAATAAAAACTTCAAATAATATAAAAGAAAATTCAATTAAACTTTTTTAAAAAAATTTATTTCAAAATTCAATTATTTCTAAAAATTCACGCTATATTGCTTTTAATATTCAATTATAATCTAAAATTTTAACTGAAATTCATTTTTATAAAATGAAAATCAATTTTTATTAGAAAATTCTACCAAAATTTAATTATTTAAATGCAAAAGTAAATAATTTATTGGATAATTGAATGTTTCTCAAAATTCAATTCTCATAAAGAATTTTATTAACAAATTTTTAAATAATTGAATTCTTTTTGTCGAATTTTATTAAAACTTGCATGAACATAATTACTTTTTTCAAGGAATTCAATTATAATTGTATGAAAAATAATTGAAACTCTGCGATCAGTTTTACTATTAGTAAAAATAATTGAATTCTTAAGAAGAATTTTATTATTCTTGAAAATAATTGAATTTCTGCAATAATTTCTAACTCCTCTAAAATTAAATTTTTTTCTAGTGTTTTTAACTAAAATTCTTCAATAAATCCATTATTTTTAATAATTTAAAAAAATATTCTTTGAGAATTTTTAAATTCATTCGTTTGCAATTCTATTTTACAAAATTTCAATTATTCGCAAATTCTGCAATTAAATATTTATTGAAAAATAAAAACTTACAATAGTTACAATAAAAAATCCTATTAAACTTTTAAAAAGAATTAATTCTACAGAATTGTTTGGCAAAAATATGAAAAATTAAGAATTTCAATGATTTTAATTTGAAACTTTTTCAAAATTTAATTATTTATAAAAATCCACGTTATAATGATTTTAATATATTTAATTATAATCTAAAATTTTAACTGAAATTCATTTTTAAAACCATTTTTATTAGTAAATTCTACGAGAATTTAATTATTTAAATACAAAAATAAATAATTTATTAATTTCATGTTTCTTGAAATTAAATTCTCATAAAAAATTTTATCAACAAATTTTTTAAAACATTAAATTCTTTGGACGAATTTTAATAAAATTTTTAAGAATAATTACATTTTTCAAGGAATTCGATTGAAATTGCATTAAAAATAATTAAAATTCTGCAATGAGTTTGATTATTTATGAAAATAATTGAATTCCTAAAAGAATTTTATTATTTTTAAAAATAATTGAATCCCTGTAAAAAACATATTATTTATGAAAATAATTTAATTATTGCGAAGAAATTTATAAAAAATTTTGTAAATAATTGAATTTATGTAAAAAATGTTATTATTTATGAAAATAATTGAATGTTTGCGTAGAATTTTATTCAAATTTTTTTTAATAATGGAATTGTTTTGTAAAATTTTATTGAAATAGTAGATATTGAAAATCATTGAATTTTAGAAAACTTTTGAAAATAATTGAAATTTTGACAAGAATTTGATTAAAATTTTGTAAAATAATTGAATATCAGAGAAGAATTTTATAATTTATAAAGAGAATTGAAATTTTGACGAGAATTTTTTTAAATTTAAGTAGTAGAAATACTTTTAGACAGACAATATTTAAACTTTTAAGTTTATAATTTTAATTATATTAAAATAAAAAAGAGGTAGGAGATAATCAATAAAAAATATTAATAAAACTAATAAAATATTAATAAAACTAATAATTTACAGTTTAAAATTACGAGACTCTGAATCTAATAATAATTAAAAGAAAAACAATAAAACTCCAAATAATTCGAATAATACTAAATTATTATTCGTGCACCAAAAACATATATTTAATGAAAGGTTTAAAAAAAAACATTAAAAAGAACGTAAAAAGGCAAATTTTTCCAATAAACTTCCACATAACAAATGTAAATTTAATACAGAAATAAAACTCTCATTTCAATACATATTTAAATGTATTTTAATTTCTGTTCTTTTTTCTTTTCTTTAAAATGAGGGTGTTTTGTGTGTTTAAAAAGTGTGTCATGATTTTTATCGTTCCCGAATGATTTTTTTTTTTCTATATCGTTTAGTGGAAAAGAAGAGGAAGAAAAAGAAAAAAAACAAACTTGAATGAAAAGAGAGAAAGGGGAAACATAAGGATATCTTAGCAACTAAAGTAAATGGCATTTCAAGAAATCGTGCTCCCACTTTATCAGGACCAAATGTCTTGTAATTCTTATCTCACATCCGTGCGTACATCCTTATCTTGAGTTGTGAAATAGTCACAAGGCAAATGGTAAACAGAATGGATTCAAATCATTCTTTATTTGAAATTAAACGACTCCCTTATAACTGCTTCTATATATTCACCATTTTTTTTCGCGTGCTTACGAAACATAATTAATAAAAAAAAATCTCACTTTTATTTATTTATTTTTTATTATTATAATATTACATTTATTTATTTGCATTATCTACAAATGCGTAAATTAAAAGTAACTTTAAAATTAATCAGGTATGTAATATTTCATTAGAACTAAAATTTAATTTATTTAATTAATTAAAGTTTTAGAAAATTAATATTTAAATTTAAATTCAAAAAATTAAGTAAAATTTAAATTAATAAAAAAAAATTGTTTTGGCAATTCTTTGATTTAAAATAATTCTATCAAGGCTAAAATCGAAAATAGGTAAAATGGATAAATATAAAAAAATGTTTAAAAACTTTCAGAATTCCTTTTTCTTAACGAAAGATTGTCCTTTATCATAAGAAAATTAAAAGAACAAAAGTAGAAAAAGAGAGAGAGAGAGGAAAAAAATGGAATATTCTCCATCTTCAGTGACAAATGGACATTGTGAACAGACCTAATTTTGATGCCGAGTCATTCAAACGTAAAAATAAAAGTTAGAAAGACCCACGATGAGAAAGTCAGGGAGAGAAAATCGCAGTGATAGCACAAAGTGAAAAGTAAAAATTTTCCCAGCAGGGAGAACTTAATGTTTAATTTAAGATAGAGCAGTGCTACTCTTAACGGGGAAAAGTTATATCTCGTGGAAGGGGAGAGAGAGAGAGAGAGAGAACTGAATTCCAACATCAGTAAAGAGTAACGAGCACAGCCTGTTCACCAAAGTGCCATGAAAAATATCTTTTTTTTTTCTTTTTACTTAAACTTCTATATATAACACGCCACAATTTTTTCAATTTATTATTGAAATTACATTAAAATTAAATTATATAATTAAAAATTAATTGGTTCAAAAAATACTCTCACTGAATCTTATATATAATTTTTTAAATATATAACATGACCCAATTTTTTCAAATTATCATTAAAATTATTTTTAAATAAAATTGTAAACTAAAAATAAATTCGTTCAAAATACATTTTTACTTGAAGTTATATTTTTTTCATATACAACCTAATTTTTTCAATTTAATACTGAAATTTATAACTTAGTAATATGCGGAACTTGAAAATGATTTTAAAATAAAAATAAATCTAAAAAAAATTAATTCGTTCACAAACAGAGAATTTACATTTCTTTTTGTATTTTGACTATTTTGTTGAAACAGAAAATTTAGAAGCAAAAAAATATTTATAAATATAAATTTATAAATATAAATAATAAATAAATAAATAAATAAAGAATTTTTTTTTAAAAAATTTTTCTCCGTATAATTTAATTACTATTTATGTCTTTATAAACGTTGGTAATAAATTTCAACAAATGAATTTAAAAAAATATGAATGAACGGAAATATGTGCTTTAGTGAGTTTCAATATTTAATTGCTCAGTTGAAGTTAAAAAGCAGGGATAAAAAAAAATGTTAAATGCGATTTCCTTTCGTAATCGAAGTTTAATTGCATTATAAATTTAAATTTCTGAAAACTATTTTCGTTAATTAATTTCCTCTTAGGTGCGAATGATTGGATTTAAAACCACGCCGTAAATGAACAGAGATTCATTTTTATTTGTTAAAGAGTGTGCCATTGTTAATGAAGAGAATAATTAAGAAGTGAATTTAGAAAACAATTATTTTTATTATTATTAATTAATTTTTTAATTTATAATTTTATTTTTTATAAGTTTATAAGGACAGGAAAATTTTTTCTTAATTTTAATCGAATATTTTTTTTTATAATAATTTTATTCGAGAATAAGAAGAAAAATATTTGTAATATTTGATTTTAGTAATAATATTGATGATATAAATATTAATAGCAAAAAATTTTAAAAATCACTTTTATTTTATTCCTTTAAAATAAATGGAAAATAATATTTTAATATGTTTTGATAATAAATTTTAATTATAACTTTTGTTAATGAATTTTATTAATAAAATTTTTATAGTATAAATATTAATAGAATTAAATTTTAATAATAACAATACTTATGGGATAAATTATTATATTCCATTATTTTACTAATGGTGATAAATTTTGATAACAAAAATATTAATAAATATAAATATTAATGATAATATATTCGAATGGTAAAAAAATGATAATCTTAAATTGAAATAATATTGGAAATTTAATAATAAATTTCCAAAATAATATTATTAATTAATTACAATTAACAATAACTGTTAATAATATAAATAATAATGATAGTTAATTTGAATAATAATAAAAAATAAGAATAATAAAAAATAACAATGAAAATAGTGACAATAAAAATTAAAAATATAATAATAATTTTTAAAAAATTTCTCGTAATTAATATTTTTTTGTGATTATTTGTTGCAGTTGCGTGTTCAACGGTGACTGTGTCAAAATGTCAAGCAGCTTTAAAAACACTGCAAGCTTTCTCGTTCTTCCGGCCAACGTGCCTTTGCAGGGAACCTCATGTCGATCCCGAATGCAACAACTTTCGTGACTTCCTCTTTGACCATCCATGTATCTACGTATTAAAAAAAGGTACGTTTGAAAATATTATTTTTCTTCAAATATTTTCAGAATATTCTCCAGAAACATTTGGAATTTTTATTAAATCACATTTATTTCAAAAAAAAAAAAAAAAAAAAATTTAAAATTTTCTATTACGGAAACAATTTTTTTATATGGGACAAAAAAATTTTGTTTGTAGCACAAAAAAGGAAAGTATAAAAAATATGTACTCTTTGATTTTGCATATTAAAATTGAAAATATTTCTAAAGTTAAAAATTAAAATACAAAATTTATAATCGAGGGAAAAAATAAATTTTAAATTAAAAATAGGAATAGGAAAATATTTCTGAATTTAAAATTAAAGATACAATTATAAATACAAAAGTAAAATTACAAATAAAAAGAGGAAAATATATTCTTTATTTTAAAATTAAAGATATAATTAAAAATACAAAAATAAAATTGAAAATACAATCAGGGAAAAATATATTTTAAATTAATAACAGAAATACGAAAATATTCCCAAAATTAAAAATAAAATATTATATTTGGAAAAAAATATCTTTTGAATTAAACATGAAAATAGGAAAATATTCCTAAATGTAAAATTAAAAAGAAACTATTAAAAATACAGAAATAAAATTAAAAATACAATCGGGAAAGAAAATATAATTATTTTAAATTAAAAATATAGTAATTGAAAAATATTTCCAAAGTTAAAAATTAAAACGAAAATTTTATAATTGGAGAAAAAAAATATTCTAAACGAAAAATATTTCATTTTCCTTAATAAAATACTAATTTGAGTTTGGGTCAGACTTTATTTTTTTATTCTTCTTATTACTTTTTGAAGTAGAGTGAGATAAATTGACTAACTTTCAACGGAATCAAATAACTTTGAACAATTCTCATTAATTTCTCGAAATTTTTCGGTAATGAGTTTTTAAAAATTTTTCTTTTTTTCAAACCCCCACCCCACCCCTCCCTCTCTCCTTAGTAATAGTTGTAAGAGAGTGGAATGATTTTAAATGAGTTTCAGAGTAAAAGGATTGGTTTCTCTCTCACACACATACACACAGCTTCAGAAAAAGTTTTATAGTATTTCTATACGAAGATCTTTTTTTATAACTGATTCCAATGTATAAGAGACGTATTTTAAAAGAAAGTTTTTTATTCCTTTTTTTTTGAAACTGTAACGCAATCTCCTAATTTTCTTCTATGAGAAAAGGAAACCATTGTATTTTTTTCTTCTAATTTTTATTCAATATTTACAGGGAGGGATATTATTGAAATTATCGTAATTAACAAAATTACTGAAAAATATTATAACTTACAATTTTATAAGAAATAAGAAGTAAATAAATATTTTTAATTAATTTATTTTTAATTTTTAAAAAATTTTACTTTAAAGAAAATTTCAAAAAGAAAAATAAGGTTTATAGCTTTTTTAATTGCATTAGTTTCTTTCATTCAATATTTACATAGGGAAAATTAATAAAAGTCGATGTATTAAATATTGAAACAAATCAGTGCCATTAAAAAAGTTAAAAAAAATTTGTTTAAAATTGAAATAAAATTTATTTAAAATGTAAATTGTTGTTGGTTTTGAGTTAGTAAACTTCAGTAATAAATTAGTAAAAATTACTATTTATTAACAAAATTTACTAATTCCAAAGTAAAAAGATTCACTTACTTATTTAAATTATTAAAAAAAATTTACTGATTCAAATTTAGAGAGTAGTTATTTATTTTTTTTATAAAATTTTTTTATTTATTTTATTTTATTTACATAGGTATCTTATAAGTTTTTACATTTAAATTCTACATGTTTAAATAAATTGATAAATTTAAATAGATTTTAATTAAAAAAATGAAATTTTTTAATTTAATTAATTTGTTAATAATATTTGCAACATCAGGAATAATATCAATAATAATAATAATTATTATAATTTCTTAATTATTCTTTTTCTTAACAAGAACGTTAAAAGGGAAAAAAATATTTTTCCCTAATTTTTAATTTATTTATGTCTTTTACTGATATTACAATTTTTCTAGGAGTAGTGGGGGGGAGTAATTTTAATTTATATATATGTATGTACAATAAAAAAGCGAGAGAAAAAAGGTTGAAGGGATAACATCTGCTCAATTAAAGAGTGTTTAATTACATTTTAATTACGCTTACTTAATCTATAGTGAAGGGTTGATCACGAACTGGGATAGAATAATGAACTTAATCCACCGCTAATGCTACTGCTGAAATTGCAAAATTTCTCTCGAGACTGGAGATCGAATTATTATTAATATTTTCACAAGAATTGAGGAAATTAAAATCATATTTCATTTTTATTTTTTTTTCCATCAAATGTTAAAAGATTCCTTTTTTTGTTCCTCTTCGCATTTATTTCTTCAAGAGAGAGTATTTTGAAGTTTTTCGTTTTCAATCAGATTTTATTCCCAATGGCAATTAATTTTTTTTACATGTTAGTTTGAAATTTAATTAATTTATTTGTGGATTATTTTTAATGTTAAAAAACTATTTTATTGTGTTTCATTAGGTTTTGATTTTTAATTGGTTTTATTTTTAATTTAGTTTTTGTTTTTTTCTTGGTTTTGTCTTTTTTTTTTTTTTTTTTTTTTTTTTGCTTAGGGAATTTTGGGAAATCTGCCTACAGATACCTTGGACTCCGCACTCCAAGGTTATGTGGGGTTGGTGTGATAAAACAAAAGGAAATGTCTTTTAAATTAGTTTTTATTTGTTTATTTTTTAAATTTAGTTTTATATTGTTTGAATCGGTTTTTGATTTTTATTTAGTTTTTATTTTATATTTGGTTTTTGTTTTTTAATTGGTTTTGTTTTTTAATTTAGTTTTTCATAATTTTGCATATTAAATTAATTTGTATTTTTAATTCATTCATTCAGTTACTTCTTTAATTTATTTATTTTTATTTATTTATTTATGACTTTTTTGTATTTATTATTTTATTTACAATTATTTTGCATTCAATATTTTAAATATGAAAAAAAAATTATTTTTAATATTCAAAAAGAAAAATTTAACATCGAGTTTCACTTCGACAGGTTCTACTGTAATTTAAATATAAAGAGATATTTTTGAAGAAGAAAAAAAGAAAAATTACAAAAGAACAATAATTTTTATATTAATAAGTGAGATCTGGTAATATGTTTGACAACATAAAGTGACCCCTTAGATCTACTCTTATACGAGTGGAACTTAATCAAACCGTTATTGGAAATGTCACATGTATGTGTTTGTAACTTGTTATAAGTTTTCTTCTTTTCGATATCGGAAAAAGAAGTAAGGAGTTTCTTATACTACAATGTCATCCTCGTTATGTCCATCGCGTACTCTTACGCCTCCTTGAACTCAAAAGCCCTTCGTGGCGAACTTCATCTTCCCTTCCGGAGAAATTTTCGTTCATTCCCCCCCCCTACCAAAAAAAAGAAAAAATAGAGAAAGAAAAGAGAAAACTCCAGAGAAACGAAAAAGAGAAGAATACAACACGCCTATCATGTTTTCGCGACTTGAAAACCTGATGAGTTTCGATCAAAAAAAAAAGAAAAGAAAAAAAAAGAAAGTAAAAGGCAGCTTTTTCCCCTTCCTTTTTTTCTTTATATTCGAAAATGAAGTAAATAGAATTTCGATTTTTAGCATCGTTTCTGAACAATGTAGTATATAAACGTCTCTTGATTCTTTCTATACAGAGACTATTGGGAGAATTTTTAGAAATAAAATTTTTATACCAAACGTAGGAAGTAAATGAAAATTGGATGTATTTTTATTTTTTCTGTATTAAAAGTTTTTTAATTTAAAATAACAGATATAAATGTGGAAGAAGTCAAATTCTATTTTTCGAAGAAATTGACCTTCTTTTTAAAAGGAATTAAATATTTATTTTGAAAAAATGTCAATTATTGTTGAAGCAGAAAATCTGTAATCAAAAATATTATTTTCGTCTCATATTCTCTTAAATATTCTCAATCATACTGTTTTATTTTTCAATTAAAAATTTTTCATCCATTTCTGTAAAATAATTTTAATTTATCACCAATTTTGAAATAAAAAGCTATTAAGACAATCGATTATGAATTTAATACCTTTTGGTCTAAAAAAAACTCCTTTCTCTACTTTAAAGTTTAAAAGGTGTCGGACTAAAATTGTTTTTACTACTTAAAATATTCGGTAGGATTTTAAAATTCAAAATTTTTCTACTTAGTAGTAAAATATTTTTAAATCAGACCGAAATAAATATTTTAAGTAGTAAAAACGACTTTAGTCAGACAACATTAAAACTTTGATGTAGTAAAAGGGGTTTTTAGTCAGACATTATGCTGTTAAATTTGACAAGTTTCGAATAAGTAGTAGTCCAAGAAGCAGAACTAAAATTCTGTCTGAAATTTATATTTTAAGTAGTAAAAACAATTTTAGTCAGACAGTAAAATTTAACTTTGACGCAGTGAAAAGGTTTTCTACTTAGACTAATAGCTTGAAAATCAAAAATTTTTCAACTTGGTAGTAAGTAATTTAAAATCCGACCGAAATTATTATTTTAAGTAGTAAAAATTACTTTAGTCAGACATTAAAATTTTGAAGTAGTGAAATGAGTTTTTAGTCAGACTTTATATTGTTAATTTCGACAATTTTGCGAATTAGTAGTACTAGTAGTCTTTGTTGTAGTAGCTTAACTAAAAAATTTTTTGAGACTTATATTTTAAGTAGTAAAAACAGTTTTAGTCAGACAGAATAATTTAACTTTGAAACAGTGAAAGGACTTTTTAGTCTTTAAAATTAAAATTTTAAAATTCAAAATTTTTCTACTTAGTAGTAACATAATTTACTGACATTAGTCAGTCAACATTTAAATTTTGAATCAGTAAAAGAAGTTTCATTTCTTAGTAGTAAAATAATTAAAAATCCGACCGAAATTAATATTTTAAGTAGTAAAAACGACTTTAGTCAGACAGAACAATTTAACTTTGATGCAGTAACAGGAGTTTCTTGTTAAACTAAAAGCTTTAAAATTTAAATTTTTTCTACTTAATAGTAAAGTAATTTAAAATCCGATCGAAATTAATGTTTTAAGTAGTAAAAATGATTGTAGTCAGACAACATTTAAATTTTGAAGTAGTGAAAGAAGTTTATAGCCAGACCTCAGTTTCTTGTTAATTGCAAGTTCTTCAAAATTTTTGTAAATTTTCACGATAGACTTTAATTTAAAAAAAAGGAGAAACAGATTTAAAGAGAAAATTTTAGACACCTTTTTTTAAACTGACTTTTCTATAAAGTGTAACTGAGAAAAAAGTAGGAGCAATAAAGAGAGAGAGAGAGAAAGTATAAGAAGAAGAGAAGCATTGTGGTGGGTCCAAGAACAGAAGAAGATGCAATAAAAAAAAGAAGAAAAAGAAAAAAAAAGAAAAGAAAACCCGACAGAAGGATGCAGTATTCTTTTGCGCTGAGGAAAGAAACGAGGAAATGCCAGACGGGAACCAACCTTTTTCGGGGTGAAAAGAGCGCATCGGGAATTATCTGTGAATCGTTGAAGCGTTCAAAAGGCTCGACGGCCCGGACGAACGAGCCCTCGGGAAAATGAACAATGGAGGCCTTAAGAGAAGAGTAAGAGAGCCCGAGGGGGTGTATAAAGGGGGTGCAGTCAAAGATATCGTAGGCCTTTTGTTTCCCCACTCTTCAAAAATCCCAAGCTACCTTTAGTCATATCCGTCTCGGGGGCCAATGACGTTGACTTTAAATAATAAGGTAAAAAAAGGAAATTTTCTCCTTCTTCTCTCTCTCTCTCTTTCTCTTTTTATCCCCTTCATCCTTCTCCTGATGAAGGTCACCAATTTATCCTCAACGTTAAACTCTAAAACGACATTTCACTTTTTCATCTCGATTCTATTTGCAGATTTTTGCTGAATAATATCTTGTAATTCACTGCTATAACCGCATTTTGTACACGTCAAAAATTTAAATTTGAGAGAAAAGACAAGAGGAAAGATTTAAAATTACATTAAAATTCAAATGAAACTATTTCCATCTTGAATTTTTTTAGCTATTCTATTTTCAGCTTCTTCTATTTCTTATTAAAATAAATTTTTAGAGTTGTGACAAAAATAAAGACTTAAATATAAAATAAAATATTCATAGATAATTTTAGAAAAATATTGCAAAATATTGTAGGATAAGTTGTTAGTCAGACTTTTATATATTCAAAATTAGTAGTAGAAAAGTAATTTAAAACCACAAAGAAATTTATAATTTAAGTAGTAAAATCAAATCAAAATCTTTCGACTTAGTAGTAAAATAATTAAAAACCGTATTGAAATTTGTATCTTAAGTAGTAGAAACAGTTTTAGCCCGACAATATTTAAACTTTTAAGTAGTGAGAAATGTTTTTAGTCAGACCAAAACCTTTTTAATTCAAAATCGTTCGAGTTAGAAGTAAAATTATTTTGAAATCCTACCGAAATTTTTATTTTAAGTAGTAGAAATAATTTAAGTCAGACAGAGAAATTTCACTTTGATGTAGTGAAAAGCTTTTCTAGTCTTTAAAATTAAAATTAAAATTTTTAAATTCAAAATTTTTCTACTTAGTAGTAGAATAATTTAAAATCCAATGGAAATTAATATTTCAAGTAGTACAAACGACTTTAGTCAGACAACATTTAAATTTTGAAGTAGTAAAAGGAGTTTTTAATCAGACCTTATGCAGTGTTAAATAAGTTGACAAATTTTTAAAATAGTAGTAACATAACTAAAAATCTGTCGGTATATATTTTAAGTAGTTAAAAAAATTTTAGTCAGACAGAACAATTTAATTTTTATGCAATAAGAGGAGTTTCTAGTTAGAATAAAAACTTAAAATTTAAAATTTTTTCTACTTAGTAGTAAAATAATTTAAATTCCGACTGAAACTAATATTTTAAGTAGTACAAACGACTTTAGTCAGACAACATTTAAATTTTGAAGTAATAAAAGGAGTTTGTAGTAGTTCATTTTAAGTAGTGATGAAAGATTTTAGTTAGACTAAACGCTTTTAAATTTCAAAACTTTTACTTTGAATACTTTTGATTAATACTAAAATAATTTAAATTTTAGATGATAATTACATTTTAAGTAGTAAAAATTTTTTTAGTCAGACAAAACAATTTAAAATGAAAGATTTTAGTCAGACTAAACGCTTTTAAATTTCAAAACTTTTGCTTGAAATACTTTTGATTAATACTAAAATAAATTAAATTTTCGATGATAATTACATTTTAAGTAGTAAAAACCATTTTAGTCAGACATAACAATTTAACTTTGAAGTAGTGAGAAGAGTTTCTAGTCAGATTAAAAGCATTTAAATTCTCGATCTTTCGACTTAATAGTAAAATAATTGTTTATACTACTTACTACAATTGTTATTACTACTTAAAATATAAATTTCTGCTTATTTTTTCTGTCACACTAAATCTGTTTTTATTACTTAAAATTAAAAATTCAGTCAAGTTTTAAGATATTTCAATAATGATTTTAAAAGTTCGAAAAATTACAAGAATTTTGTCTGACAAAATCGAATTTTACTACTTAACAGCAAAATAAAAATAGTTCAGAAATTCTTTTTTTACTACTTACTTTATGATTTTTAAATTCAAAGCTTTCAGTCTGACTAAAAATTTCTTTTACTACTAATTCACGAATTTTTTTGAAAAAAATCGTTTAATATAATAAATTTTTGTCCTTTTGAATATTGAATTAAAAATTTGACTTTTAGTCTGTCTGACTTAAGTGGTTTGTACTACTTAAAATACAAATTTCTGTCTGATTTTAAGTCAAGTTAGTATTATATTCGAAAGTTTTAAAATTTAACAGCGATACGTCTGACTAAAAACCTGTTTTCACTACTTAAAATGTAAAACTAATACTCCTCTACTGCTTAGAATTTTTTGTCTGACTAAAGCTATGTTTAGTGAAATTAAAAATAAAAGTTTATAATTATAATTATAAAAGTGAAGACGAAAGTGAAAATAAAAATCTATCAATGTGAAAGTGAAAGTGGAAATAAAAGTCAAAATAGAAATACAATTTCATAATCGACTCTCTAGTTGGAGAAAAATCAATTGTTAGTAAACAATTGTTTTAAAATTCATTTACCTTTTATTTATCTTTAATTTAACTTTTATTTATTTAATTGTATCTTTATTTATTTGTTATCTTTGGGCCTATTTACAAATTGCGTCACAAATCTAGAAAAAGGGGAAAATAATTATTTCTTTTTACTCTTACAGACAATTGAAAGTGTATTCAATTTTTTTTTTTTTTGCATTTCTCCAGGAAAAAAATTTTATTATTAAAATTGATCTTTATTTAAAGTGTTTATCTTCAATGCAACAACAAAAAAATATTTACACGAAAAATAAACATCGCATCATAATTTATATAATTCCTGTAATCGTCGTAATGTTGCATAATCCGTTTTCTATTTTTGTTAGGTGCGCGGAGAAAAATGAGTTGTCAGCCGAACGAAAATTTGTGTAAGTATAATGCGTCGTTGAAAAAGAAAAAAAAAATCTTTTTTTTTTTCTCTTTTTTTTTACTTTCAAATATAAAATAGTGATTGCAGATTAATGCACACAATAAATTGTTGTCACGAATGCAACAATTGTTGTAAGCTTGACACACCTTGACAACAATTGCTTGTTTAAACAACAATTCATTTTTCTCCGAGTAGATGCTAGAAATTTTTAGATTTTATTAATCACTATTCTTCATTAGATTAACTCACCAATTTTTTTTTTTTTTTGTTATTTATTCGATTTTATGTTAGGAAACATTCTGAAGTTTCGCACGTTATTTCTCTTGTTTTAATATAGGTCGAGAATTATGTAATTAACAATAATTACATTTACATTACGATCCAGTATAATTTTAATAACAAAATTTTTTTTTTTCTCTAAGTAATAAATTTTTTCTTCTGATATAAAAAATTACATTCCTAATTTATTAGGAATTTTTTGTTTGTAATTTACAATTGTTCATTTGAGCTCAAGTTTGCAAGATGGACAGAAAAATAACAAAATTTCTATAATTTTTTCCATTTTTATTTTTTTTTTTTTAAATATTTGGTTTAAATATAAAAGAAAACTGAAAATATTTACTGGGTGAATAATTTTCTTGGGAACTGAAAATTAATTATTTAGAGAATACATTCATAAATTTTAATTTTTCTCCTTCCTGAGTAAAACTTGCAAAATTGAGCTTCATTATATTATTCGAGAATTTTCGAGATACATTATAATAGTATCCGATAACTCGTTTCCTTGAAACAATTCTGTTCAAACGAAAAAAAAAGTAATCAATGTTTAATGAGATACAATTAGTGAAAAGTTTTAATCACATTTGGCAAACTCTAAAAGAGAATTATTTATATATAAATACATTCGTCTTCAATAAGTATACCAGGTATATATCTATAGAACTGATTTGTATTACTAAACACCAGAAACAAAACAAAAATAACTAAAAAAAAGGTAATGAATAAATAATTCTAAAATGTAAATTTATTGCCGTGAATAATAATTAATTCTTATTAAAGAAGGAATTAGTGATAAAAGAAGTAAAAGAAGAATTTTTAACAGTATTATTCTTCTTTTTATAGACAATTTTTTATTCTTTTATTTATAGAAGAGAATATTAATTTTTTAGATCACATTCATCATTGTTGTTTGATTAATTTTAGAATTCATTGATTTAATTCGTTAATTTGGTTTGTTAATTTAATTTGTTAATTTAATTTGCTAATTTCATTATTTTTTTTTTTGCAAAGGAGATTTTTAATGAAATTTCGTTTTTGTTTTTTCGTTACAGACAAAGAGGCTGGTCCTATTGATACTCTACCGAATTGTAATCATGCGTTAAGTGTGTGTCAACGTGAGAAACCCTGCACCAAGTTGTTTGAAGATTTCAAGAGCAGCTGTAAGGCGAGAGATGGCAAATGTAGGATAGAAAATCGGTGAGTTTTTAATTTTTTTTTCTTTGACAACAAATTTTTCTCTATAAATTTTCTATAAATTGCATTTAAATTGATTTTTAAATTATTAATTAAATTGAAAAATAGTAACAAAATAATTTGTATCTTATTGGGAAAACTATAATTAATTTGCTAAACAGTTTAATTAGTTGGTATAAAATAAATTATAATCAATTGGCGTAAAAAATTAAAAATTTCTTTTCTATTATTTCGACTTAATGAACGAACAAATAATTCGGGATTTTTTTGCAGAAAAATTTAATTCATTAATTATTTGATACGTATAAAGAAATTGAGAAAGTTCATTTAAAATTTTCCTTGATAAAAAATTTTACCCTCTCTTAATAAAAAATATTGTATTAATTTTTTTTAATTAAAAAAAAATATTAATTTAAGGAAAAAATTATTATTTTAATTTAAAGAACGAATAAAAAATTCATTTTTTTTGAGAAATCAAATTATTTTTGCTAACTATTTAATAGTTATAGAAATTTAGAAAATCGTTTTCTGCCCCATGATAGAAAAAATTGATTAAATTAAAAATGTTCAATTTATTATTTTAATTTAATGAACGATATCAAAAAATTAGAATTTTTTTTCGAAAAATATAATTAAGTTAACTACTTTAATTAGTTTTAATTATAATCAATTGTCAAGATTTTCTTTGTGAATTTTTTGTCGATAACAAATTTTTTCCTCCCTAAAAAAAATTTAACGATTTGTTTTTATTATTTCGATTTAATGAACAAACAAAATTAGATGGAGAGAAATTGAGAGAATTGGTATTTTTTATTCACATTTCTCCTTAATTACAAATTTCCCCCTCTCTTGATAAAAAAAACATTGAATTAATTTTTCTCTAATTCAAAATTTTCATTTAATTTTTCCCTTGAAAACAAATGTTTTCCTTTGAAAGAAAAGATTTAGGTAAATTGAAAAAAATTTCAATTTATTATTTCAATTTGTTGAACGAACAAAAAATAGCAAGTTTTTTTGGGAAAATAATATTATTAATTTCCTAATTATTTAATAAGTATTGAATTTCCTTGAATTTGAATTTTTCCTTGTTAAAAATTTTCGCCAATTGATAAAAAAATTTGATTAAATTTGAAAACTTAATTTATTATTTAAGTTCTATTAAAATTTTTTTTCTGCTAAAATATATATATACCTAATTCCCTAACAATTAAGAAAAGGTATAAAAATTGAGAAAATCGTGGAGTTTTTTATTTGATTTTTTCCTTGAACAAATTTTCTACCCGAAAATAGAAAAAATTGATTGAATTAATAAAATTTTGTAATTGAAATATTTCTTGATAATATAATTATTTTCATCTTCTGCGAAGAAATTTAATTAAATCAATAAATTATTTTATTATTGAGAGAATCGAAATTTTTCTTTTGTAGTTTTCTTTTATAGCATCCCCCACTCTTGTTAGAACAAATTTAGTTATTTTTTTTTAATTTAAAAATATTATTACTTTAATATAATGAGGAAACAAAAATATCAGATAACTATTACGAAAGTTGCGCTTAATTTTCTGACAAATTAATAGATATAAAGAAATTGAGAAAAGCGTCGAGCTTTTCATTCGAATTTTCCTTTGCTAACAAATTTTTACCTCTGGATAAAAAAAGATTCGACTATTTTTTTTTTAATTTCATGAAAAAATAAAAAATTCGTATCTTTTTTTTCTGTTAAAACTATAATTAATTAATTTGCTTTCGAAATAAGCATTGAAATCAGAAAAAATCGGCTAGTTTTTCATTGCAAACAAATTTTCCCTTGAGAAGAAATTTTTCCTCTTTCGTTAAAAAAAATTGATTAGTTTTTTTTTTTTAATGACGAAAGGAAAAAATCAAATTTTTTTTACCCTGAAATTATTTGTAATTAGCTGACAAAACTGTTTAATATATAAAAATGAATTGCGCTGTAAATTTTTTCTCTTCTTTCGGACAATATTTACTATTTCAAAGCATTAAGAATAATAATAAAAAAAAAAATAAAATAAAAAACTCGTCACACATCTCATGAAACTCGAGAGATTGAGCTCAAAAACTTTATCATAATACTTTTTGTTTGTTTTTTCTATTTTTGTTTTTGTTTCTATTTTTTTTTTCGTTTTGTTTTATTTTGTTTTCACGCGGCATGAATAAGAGGATAACCAGAGCGCGATATCGTTTCACTCTGTGCTTGGGCAACTCTCTCTCGTTGAACTTGTTTGGCATTTCATACGAATTGGTGTGGACAGAAGCGCTAAAATGCGTTCGGATTCTATTTCCCTGGTACACCCTCCCTCTCTCCCTCCCCCCCCCCTCTCTCTCTCTCTCTCTCACACTATTTCGATGTCGTCAAGCACCAATGTTTCAACCCGCGTACTAATTTCTGGTGTGAATTCAGCTTAACTGTCATCCCCGTTGTCGAGGAAATGCCCGTCGCTAAAACAATCGGGCAAACGCGAAAACTGCATCAGCGCTGCACAAATTCACGCTAATTGTTTCCTCCTGCTCGACGAACTCACACGTACAATACGGGTGTGATTAGTGAATCTCCATTGCCAGTTGGAAAATCCACTGGACTCAAAGTTATACGTGATGACCCGTAACCTTTATCCACACACACCCCACTCCCCCCCTCTCCTCCCCACCACTATCGCCCATTATTGAATTGTTGAAGAGTAAAACCGCGACTGATTTTGGATTAGTGAGAAAAAAAGGAAAAATTCTTAGAAGTAAGAAATTTTTCTGGAAAAGTTTATGGTTATAAGAAATTCTTTTGGAAAAGTTTATAGAAAGTAAATTTAAAGAAAGTTAAGTTAAGTTTAAAGAGAGTTAATTGAAAATAATATAAAAATAAATAATAATAATAATAATAATAATAATAATAATAATAATATAAAATAAAATTTAATAATAAATAATAATCAAATAAAAATAAATAAAAATAATTGAAAATTAAAGAAAGTAAATTTTTGTTGGAAGTAAATTTTTATAGGAAAAAAATCATTGTTTTGCAATACTTTTGATACGTTTTCTTGGCTGAATTTGATATCCTTAGAAAAACTGTGAAGTAAAATTTTAAAAAAGTAAATTTTTTAAAATAAAATCTTTAAAGAAAGTTAATTTAAGAAGAAAGTAAATTATTAAAGAGTAAATTTTCATAGGAAATAACTATTTAAAAAATATTTTTATAATAAATAAATGTTTAACGAAAGTAAAAATTTGCAAAGAAATAAATATTTCATACATGGAAAATTAATTATTATAGAAAAAAGAAAATTGTATTGAAAATAATTGAATTGTTGCGAAAAATTTTACTATTCATAGTATTTATAAAAATAATTGAATTGTTCTGAAGAATTTATTAAAATTTTAGAAAATAAATAAATTTTATAGAAATATTTGAAAATAATGAAATTTTTTCGACAAAATTCAATTAAAGTTGTTTCGAAAATAATTGAATTTCTTTAAAGAATTTTATTATTTTTTTGAAAATAATTGAATTCTTTCAATTTTTTTTTTGACGAATTTATTTAAAAATTGCATTGAAAGTAATTTAATTTTTCTATATATAATATTTTAAAAATATTTTGAGAATAATTGAAGGCTCGGATCGAAGAACCGACGCTTCGCAATGTTCTGTGCCTTTACAAGCGTCGGTTCTTCGATCCGAGCCCTCAATTGAATTAATTTTAGAGAATTTTAAATTCTTTTTGAAAGTGAATTTTATGGAAATTTTTGAAAATAATTAAATTCTTTCGTATAATTTTATTTAAATTGGATTAAAAATAATTGAATTTCCGCAAAGAATTTTAGTATTTATAAAAATAGTTGAATTGTTTCAAAGAATTTATTAAAATTTTAGGAAATAATTGAAATTTATGGAAATATTTAAAAATATTTGAATTCATCTAAAGAATACAATTAAAATTGTTTTAAAAATAATTAAATTTCTAAAAAAAATTGTACTATTTATAAAATTAATTGAATTCTTGCGAAAAATTTTACTATTTATAAAAATAATTGAATTTCCTCGAAGGATTTATTAAAATTTTAGAAAAAAATTAAATTTTTTCGAAATGTGTTAAAATTTTTTTTAAAAATTGAATTCTTCCGAGGAATTTAATTAAAATTGTTTTGAAATTAATTAAATTTTTGTAAAGATTTTACTATTTAAAAAATTAATTAAATTGTTCAGAAGGATTTATTACAGTTTTAGAAAATATGAACAGTAATAATTAATTTTGTACTTAATAAGTGAATTTTTTAAATTTTGATTATGACATTATTTAAACAACTTTGGAATTTGCATAACAATAATAAATTTCTTTTTTTATTCTTTTAAAAATTTTACTTTTAATTTAATAGTAAAACCTGGAATAAATAATAAAATAGATTATTATTTATTAGAGGTTTACGACTAAATTAAAAATACAATTTTTAAAAAATGTAAAAATTAGTAAATTTAATTTTTCTTATTTTTGACAAAGAGCGCTATAACATCTTGTGGCGCCAAACATTTTACAAAATAAAATTAAGAGAAAAAATTTTAAAAGCAGATTTTTACAAAGAAAAAATTTACTAAATTGAAGTACATGTGTAAATACTAACAAAATAAAATTATTTGAAAACATAATAAAAATGCTTTGAAAAAATAGTATTTGCTGAACTTTAAAAAAACGAAATTTGTTGCTTTTTAAAATCTGTGACTCTTGCGTATTATTAAAAAAAAATAATATTCAGGTTTATTGTTTATGCAACAAACATTATTTTCCTCATGATATTTTCGAATGTAATGAACATATGTTAATGAATGGACATAATTTAAAATGAAAATTTTATGTATTTATACGTTTTATGAAAATTGGTCTCCCTCTCTCACTCTCACTCTCTCACTCTGCAAAACCACTATACTTTAGAGTTAAATTAAAACCATTAATCTTTACATTCTCTCTTATTAAAAACGTTTTAAAAACAAAATA